GACTTCTCAGAGAACTAATGGTGCAGGGCAAACCACTCATCAAAATCTAGAAAGATATGCAAATCCAGAAAGACAAAGCACTTGGAGCAGAAGTTGCTGTATGCCATAAGTGGTAGGAACAAACACTTACTTGTCTAGTAATTTTGACAAATTACTATGAGCTGATTGCAGAGTAAGACATTCCTGGAGCCACAATCATAAAGCCCCCATACTTTGCTCTACTTTGCTTTCAGTTACCCCACCAAGTTCTCACAGTGAGGATCCAAATAAGATCCCTGTATGGTCATGGCAAATAAAAGGGGGAGAAAGCCATTGTTCAATCTCCCAGATTCTTCTCTCTAACAAAAGGGGAAAGATTTTGCTTGAGGGAAATATTGAAAACATATCCCAGTTGGAGGAAGAGAATACCACCCCACTCCATCTCTCTTGACTCATAATTGAAAAGCAAATACAAACAAACAAACAAAAGCGGAGTGAACAGGAGACAGGACTTCAAGAAAAGAGACTGAGAACCTTCAGCTAGGGAAGAGAATGAAGAACATGGTGATAGGAGGGAAAAATACACTCCTGGACCAGGGACAGAAACACTTTTGAAGGTTAAAGGTCCACTAAAACACTGATTAATCAGATTAGAGGACACTCCATTTCTCCAACACCTTACCACAACACCAACAGAGCTGCAGGATGACAACAGTGGATTGGTCACAGTTAAAAGAGCTGCAGGATATAGACTTTCTCTGGGGTGGGGTCCTTAGAGAGGCCCAGTCAAGAGGGGAGACAAAAACAAGGATACTGGAGGAATTTGAAGTTTCTCATACCTATGGCAACAAGAAACATTAAACATTAAGCATAGCTCAACTCCTACTCAGATTTCCATAAATATTCATAGGAAAGCCTTAGTTACCTCAGTAATCAGTTCTCGTTACCTAATATATCTGGTTTACAACAAAAAATTATGAGGCATGCCAATAGCAAAAAACAAAACAAAACAAAACAAAAGAAACAGACTGGAGAGATAAAGCAAGCATCTGAACTAGATTCAGATGTGAGACAGATGTTAGAATTATCAAACAAGGAATTTAAATTACTATTATTAATAGGCTAAGGGCCCTAATGTAAAAAGTTGAATACATGCAAGAACATGCATAATACAAGCAGGAGATGGACACTCTACCAAAAAATCCAAAGGAAATGCTAGAAATAAAAAAACACTGTAAAAGAAATGAAGAATGCCTTCAACAGGCTCATTAGTGGACTTGACATTGCTGAGGAAAGAATCAGTGAGTGTGAAGATAGGTCAATAAAAACTTCCCAATCTGAAATACAAAGAGAAAAAGAGCTGAACAAACAGAACAGAACATTCCAGGACTGTGGGATAACATCAAAGGAGGGTGATATAAACATATCTGGAATACCAGAAAAAGAATAAAGAGGGAATAGGACAGAAGGAATATTTGAATAGCAGTAGCGAACTTTCCAAAACTTAATGATAGACACTGACCCACAGATACAGGAAGCTCAGAAAAACACCAAGCAAGAGAAATACACACCCACCCCACCCCACCCACCCCCCCACACACCTAGACAAAGCATTCAAATTGCAGAAAACTGAAAGAAGAAAAAACTCTTGAAGGAAGCCACAGGGGGAAAATAACACCTTACCTCTCAAGGGTAAATGATAAGAACTACATCAAACTTCTCATCAAAAACCATGCAAGCAAAACAACAGTGTGATAAAATTTTCAGGGTGTTAAAAGAGAAAAAAAACTGATAATTCTCTATCCAGTGACATTATACTTTCTCAGATAAAAACTGAGAGACTACTAGTCTCATCACCACTAGTTTTGGCATACAAGAAATATTAAAAGAAGTTCTTCAGAGATAAGGAAAATAATATCAGAAAGAAACCTGGATCTACATAAAGAAACAAAAGAGCATCATCAGAGAAGGAATAAATGAAGGTAAAATATATATAATCTTATATTTTTCTTATTTTTAATTGAGCTAAAAGATAGCTGTTCAAAACAATAATAGAAACAATATATTGGGGGGCTGTAGCATATTATAAGTGAAGTGAATGACAGCGATGTCACAAGACATGAGAAGGAGGAATTGGGTATACTCTGCTATGGAATAGCTGCCTTATAATAAGTGTTATTTGAGGGTGGACTTGGAATATTTTTAAATGTGTATCTTAAACTATAGGTTAATCACTAAAATTTTGTTTTGTTTTAAAAAACAAGTATAAACAGTACACCAAAAGATAATATGAAAAATGGAATTCATATAAAGTGTTCAGTCAAAATTAGAGAAGGCATAAGAAGTAGGGGAGGGCAAAGAACAAATGCATGAAGTGGTAAAAGCTGCAAAGATTTTAAAATTTAATCCAACTACATTAGTAATCACCTTAAATATGAATGGCCTAAACATACACATTAAAAGATGAGCCATGCATGGTGGCTCATGCCTGTAACCCCAGCACTTTGGGAGGCTAAAGTTGGCAGATCACCTGATGTCAGGAGTTCAAGACAAGCCTGGCCAGCATGGTGAAACCCCATCTCTACTAAAAATACAAAAAAAAATTAGCCAGGTGTGATGGCAGATGCCTGTAATCCAAGCTACTTGGGAGGATGAGGCAGAAGAATCACTTGAACTCAGGAGGCAGAGGTTACAATAAGCCAAGGTTGTGCCACTGCATTCCAGCCTAGGCAATATGAGTGAGACACCATCTCAAAAAAATAAAATAAAATAAAGACTTAGGTTAAAAGTAAAGAGGCAAAGAAAGTGACACCATGTTAACCTCAATAAAAAGAAAGCGGGAGTGGCTTTACTAGCTTAAGACAATTTAGACTTTAGAAAAAGGAAGATAATCAGGGATAAAAAGGAATACTGTATCATGATAAAGGAGTCAATTCTACAAAAAGACATAACAATCCTAATATAAATACATATATACCTAACAGAATATCAAAATATATGAGATAAATACTGATAGAGCTGAAAGGACAAATAAACAAATCTGTTATTTGTTGTTGTTCAGGCCAACCCTGAGCAAGGACAAATCCACTGTTAAAGTTGAAGATCTGAATTGCAAGTAGGTTTCAAATCACAGAAGACTAAAACCAGGATGTCCATACCTCAGCTGAATCTCTAGTAGGCAGACGACCTAAACATATTTTAAGTTAATAACATAACCTCATAGAAACATGGAAATATACTTTATAACCTTGTAACATTTAGTATACTCTAATCTGTACGTAATAACTCATTCAGAGGTCTTAAAATTTGTGTTTTAAAATCAATAAAAAAAATCCATAAGCTTTTCTTTCAAATCTCAGAACTGAAAGGAATTACAGCTTTTGCTGAGACATATAAAGAGCTTGGAAGTCATCACTCCTATCCTCAGAATAAAAAGCCGGCAAGCTGCAAATAAATGACTTTTCTTGGACTTACCAAGTCTTACCTTATAGAGACTTTAGCCTCTATAGAGGAAAAAAAAATTTTTTTCCCACTTAACTTGGATTGCCTAATTCCTACAGAGTCCTTGGATTTGAATAAAGCTCAACAAGTATCTGCTGACTGTCTGAATCTGAATTTTCCCACTGAATTATGTTCATGAACATTTATTTGTACAAGTGAGCTATAGTTTCACTGAAAATATAAAGTCCCCGGTTGAAGTTATCTTTTAAAGTAGAAGATTCTGGTTTTACAGTCATCTTCCACTATTATCAAATAACCACCTGGTTTAATAAAACAGTGAAATCATTACAATGAGTACATGAATTGTTCACAGGGTTAATGTACCACACTGATTTACTATTAACTGTTAATGTATTGATTTGAAATGATCCACAAATTACCAATGCAAAGTAACCAATATGGGTATAGTACAGAAATTAAGAGAAGATTTGCAAAAAGATTAAAAATAAACGTATGTACATTACAGAAGTGTAATTCTTAAGGAACACATAAATTTTTAAGTGCCAGAATTTTATCAATTTAAGTAGTATATTGGGGGATAGTTAAATAATTTATACTCCCAAAATAAGCAAACAAAATATAAATACAGAAGGACTACGTTATTAGACAACTCATTGGGTCTAAAAAATAAAAAATGTGAAATGTAATTTTATTCCTTTTTTTTTTTTTTTTGAAATGGAGTCTCGCTCT